CGGTTCACCTCAGCGCTACGGTGATGGGTAAAACTGGACAGGATGCCAGACAGCTCCGCAAAAAGAGCGGCTTCATGACGAGCAAGCAGGCTCTCCGGGTGCGTGGAAGGCGGAAACTCGTATAACCCCAATAGCAGCTCCATTGCAAGCCCTACATCATATAAGAATACGATCCTCTCGCGCTAGACGATTGTCTAAACACTCACGGATAGAGAGGACCAGGACATCGCCTTCCGCTATAGACAGCCCTCGTATCTCGTTCTAGACTCTGTCAGTCCGGTCCACTCTCTACCGCAAGACAACACTCACAAAGAAGGTGGACATCTGATTTACCCCGAACAAGCCTTGCGCCCCGCAACGATCCGAGATCGAGATGCAGGCGTTCAAGGCTTGCTTGGAGATGACCGCTTTGACAACGGCTGCAACGCCGTGCCTCACGCGAAGTTCGCCAGTGGGATCCGAGAAATAGGTCGACGCCCAGTCGCCCAATGCCTTGTACACGTAAGCCTGTGCCGTAGCGAGGACGATAGGCTTCTGTTGTGTACTGAAAGAGAATATGGGGACCTGATGACCCTCGGATCCTGACACCATGCGCCTTTGGCTGTACATGTACCCGATAGTCGCGCAAGAGCTCAGGCCGCTCACGCAAAGAAGTCCAAGAGCCAGTGATCCAATGGTAACGCGCGATATTAGTTGAGAGAAGCTTTCACTCTCCTCGATGGAACCGAGAATGGCTGAGACAGGGAGTCGGACGTCGTGGAAAGATGTGAGCGCGTGGTTCACGACGTTGGTACCACCGCGGGGAGGAAGTACCCTGAGATTCACCGTGAGGCTCTAGTCATATACGCAGAGAAAGATACGCACTTAGCAGTGATGCCAGACGACATGTACTCCCCATCGTTCAAGTTGACGACAAAGGGACGGAGACCACGATCGCCTCCATCGACGACGAGACGAGCGAATACGATGCCAATAGTCGGAGCACCGGCTGGAATGGTGGGAGGCATGTATCTGCAATCACATGTCAACAATGGAGTAAAGAGAGCATTACAGGAGCGTACTTCGCAGCCTTTGCTGTCGGTGTAGAGAGACTGAACTCCCCGGACGGCAGTAACGTCGCTATCGTCTCGATATTCTTCGCGTCAAGTCCATGACCCAGCTCTGTGAGCAGGAATTGACCGTGAGCGCGATATGCAAGGAGGTCGTGCATGAGCGGCAGGAGATAGGGCTGTCGTGCAACGTAGCGCGCAAGTGTTCCGATGACAAGGTTGTATTGGATTGTCAATAACGTGGTGGCAGCGCCGTCTCGTGTGAGAGCGGGAAGCAGATGTAGGTCCCAAAACTTGCGTTTCAGGTGTGCAATGTCTTCGAGGTCTAGAGCTGTGTAGAACCTCGTTCAGTCACCATGGCCGCTACGATAGCTATAACTCGTGAAGAGACCCCCTTACCAGCTGATAATGCAATGGATTTCGCGCTTGCATAAGACGCGGGTGTGCATGTGGTGATCATGAGCGGCATTTCGATAGATGGTTTCTGGGAATCAGGTCGGCGATCCAGACGTCGTGGTTCGATTTGACAAAGTCAGAGGGCTCGAGTCTCGTAGGCGAAAGGTCACTACCTTCTGTCTTATATGGCAACGCTCAGCCTAGCATATCAGGACTGCAAGATCTCCACTGGCGGACTATCTCTTCCCATGCACGATGCAGATCGCAAGCCATGTTGCCATCAATAGCGTTGTACGCAACTACTATGCATGGAAATCGAAGGCTATATCATCTGCATGGAAGGCTGTCAATACCTTCATCGCAATCAGCAACTTCTTGAGATGAAGGACGTAAAAAGAAATCGGAGTTCTTTGTACACCGTATCGTCCATAGCCCATTGCTGCGAAAGATGCTATATGTCAGTCTGCGCAGATCCGTGCATCGCACATTCCCTGCGCTAAGAGTCACTACTGGTTCGTACCCAGAGTCCGATGAAGTAGATGAACACACCTGCCAGCCTACCAACCCCGCAGCGAACGCCTAGAACAATCTGCTTTGCCATTCAAGCTGTCATTGTCAATGTCATTCTGAATCGCAGCATGGCTTTCGCGTCGCGGGCCAACGACGATCTAATGAGACGGATCCGCGTATATTGTATCCCACACCGACACGGGCATCAGATTTGCGGATGCTCTCGAGCATGTTCAGTCTGACATGCGTCATCCACGACAGTGGGTATTTGACCGATAGGTCAGGACCCAGGTAAGCACCGGTAAAATGACACGCTTAGCTCTGATGCACTCAGAAAAGCGAGCGGTGAGGCCCATGAGGCCGCTTGGGATAGACATGACACGACGGCGCGTCCATACAGTATATGATATTGAGTAGGCCGCTGGGACGAGCCAAGGACCTGCAGTCTCCAGGGATGCATGAGTGTTCGAAACAACACGTTCGGCCGGCGTATTTCCGTCGGCGCGTTCCACGTTCAGCGTGAAATCAGCATTCGGCCTTTCGGCCCGGGGTGCCACCCAATAGCTGCTGCTGCCGCGTCGTGCTCTTCGCCGCTCTCCACCATGCTTACCCACAACGCACTGCTGGCAAAGGCCATAATGCATGATGTCTTTGCTGGCCTCAATAGGCTTTACAGTGACCGCTCATGTGAAGTCACCAGTCGTCACTACGATCATCAGACCTACAGTTCTCGACTCGATCTGCGGACGACGGGCATGGCTTTTGTCCCGCTGACTGCTGTATTTGGATGCCGGGTATCGCAACTTGGTCGATAGTGCGGTCGACGCATGTCCCCCTCTCTTCTATTGGACTGCTACTCATCTTCTTGCCGCGTTATCACACCGTTCTTGCCTACTCTCACCCGACGTTAACCATCATGGCCATGAGCAACCCTGCCAACCCCGTCAAACCAAGCTCCCTCAATAGACCCAACGACCCAAACGAGCGTCTCTGCGATCTCATCACTATGCTTCAACAACAGATATCCACACTACCAACTACTATCAAGACAGTGCATCCCGGGTTACAGCAGCTTGTCGACGAGGCTGCACTTGTTGCTACGAACTACGATTCTTATTTGACCGAGTACTCCTCTCCCGCCTTGCCCATTCTGCAGCGCATGCTCGACCGAGGAGCAGAGATGGACTGGGATGGACTACTGGCAAAGGGCGTAACGCAATTTCGTCTCATTCCAGAGATGTCTGCCGGAGGCTATGAGGCTACAGTGCTCTGCCATTTTGCGCGCATGGCGAAGGTCTGCTGCGAAGCGCTGAATGGGCTATACATATACTGATCGATTCCATAGGTGAAGACGATCTTGGAGATTGGGATGTTCACGGGCACGACAACCATCTCTCTCGCAAGCATTCCCGGCGTTGAACGGGTCGTTACGCTCGAGATTGAAGCATATCTTAAGGAGCACAACCTTCCGTATTTCGAAGATGCCGGTGTGGCGAACAAGATTGACATCAGAATAGGAGACGCTGTGACTTCTTTGGACGCGTTAGGCAAGGAAGGAACTTCCTTCGACATGGTGTGCTTCAGCCAGTTCCCTCCCCTCGTTCTGAGTGCTCATCGTCCATCAATGTTCAGGTTTTCATTGACGCGGATAAGCCAAATTACAAGGTCTACTTCCAGCGCGTATTGGATCTCAACATACTTGCCGCGGGCGGGTTCATCGCCGTTGACAACACCGCCTACAAGGCGTCGCCATGGGCTCCTGACGCGGAGCTGTATCCTATGGGTCGTGATATCCACGAGTTTAATGAAATCGTCAGGTGAGGTTGCTTCCGCGCATCGATGCCAGCACTGGATACTGATACTCGTACGATCTTTCAGGAACGATGTCAGAGTCGAGGAAGTGATGATACCGGTTCGAGACGGTGTTACTCTCATCAGGCGCAAAGGGGAGTAGGATGCGGGCGATTGAGAGGGATTGTGCTTTCCTCGTGTATAACGGCTGTTGCATCTCACTTCATTGAGTAAGATGAGCTACGCACGACGTACTGTAGCTGAGATACAACACGGTCAGACAATGTGAAATTGTATGTTGTGAGACGTACATCGTGATGATGCACTAGATAATACGAATACGTCGGCGCCGGAGGAACATAAGCATGTCATTTCAATATCCAGTGATGGTAACCTCTAGAATCGTGAACACCGAATGGAATCATTCCATCCTAGGTGCACCCCACACCCTCATGGTGCTTGCATTGACCCTGCTCCAAGCTTTCCCACTGAAGAGCGTTCTGAGGAGCACCCAGGGCCAAGTTAGGTGAACCAGCACGAAGAACGGCACAGGATCGCGCACATCCCAGACGGGATCAATCTCCGTGCCCGTGATGTATTGTGCGAGAAGCGCAAAAGGTGCGCTGCTCTCTGCTTGAGGCGAGGAGGTCGGGTCTCTAGGGGTACCTGGGTTCGCAAGGAGTGGATGAAGATTGCCCGCGAGAGAAAGGGGGAGCATCGAGGCGAGAGCAAGGGGAAGGGAATGCGCGAGCCACGAATTAGGGCGTGCCGTTGCGGCAGGGTATGCAGTACCCGATGCTGTGCCAAGGTAGTACGATGCGAGCTGAGGGATGCCAGCGAAGAGTACCACCGCAGTATGAGCACGCTACCAGAGCAGGGAGGTCAGTTCTCGAGGTGTACGCAGTCGATAAGTGGACGTACAGGGTTGCATTCGATGGGATACAGTTGTCCATCAGCTTCGTTCAGGATGAAGTCGACGCAGAAGTGCCCCGTGAGTTCTCGGACGGACTTCCCGCTCATGTCCTTGTCTCGCTCCAACTTGTCCTTCCAACGAGCTAGGAAAGTTCGCGTCCAGTCCTCGGCCTGTACCCCGACGGCGTACTCCTTGGCACGCTCCTCTTCCGATTGAGCAGAGAATCGCGACTTGACGTCGACGTAGCGCATGAGCATGTCGCTACTGCGACAGGTGACGAACGCCACGAGCTCGCCGTCGCGGACGGCAGCGTGGGTACAGTATTCAGGGCCGCGAAGAAGATGTTGAATGACGTAATTGTGGCGGGGACTGATGGGAAGAGGTAGATGTTCAAGATGCACCTTCGTCTGCGCGGGGGTCGCCAGAGGGAGAGGCGTCATGTCCGTACGCGCGAGGTCATCAAACGCCAATCCCTTGGTGATGTACTGCTGGCCGGCAATGGTAGTATCGGGTGAATGAAGCCAGTCCACGGCCTCTTCGACAGACCGAACGAGACGACTAGCAGGTACCGGCATGTCGAGGCACTTGCACAGTGATATGAACTCGTCCTTGCGATCTAGCGCGGTAACGAGATCAGGGTGTGGGATGAAGGACGTGCATCTGGGCGCCCTGTGCGTGATAGCGAGTGCAGCTATGGCATCAAGGACGGTGTAAGATGGACTAGAGCACGGTAGAAAGACGTTGACGCGTTCTCGCAAGACAAGGTTCACAATTGCATCTTTATAAAGTTGCGCTGAGATGGCCGGGTCGGGCAACGGGTGGTATTGTTTGACAGCTTTCGAGAAGCGTGTCATGTTCAGACCAAACCAGTCGGGCTCTTCTGCGACGATGACGCGACAGCCTGCGCGACTGAAGGTCCGGGCGAGGAACAGGCATTTGGTGTTGCGCGCTCCGGTTATGAGCACCGTCTTGCGCTCGGGGCGCGAGGCCACATTGAGCGGGTTGAGAGCATTGTAAAGGATAGCGAGCCCCACAAGAGTAGCAGTGATAGGAGCAATGATCAAAGAGAGGACGACGAGGAGCAATGCGCACAGCGCGGAGTGAAGATACGTTGGCGATGTCCTGACCATCGTGGTGAGCGCTGACCACAAGCCTCGAGCCGGAGTCCTTCCGACATATCTCAGAACGCGCTCTTTCTCGCAACGAGCGTCATACAAGATGACGTGGAAGACGTATGCATTCTCTTCGGAGAGAAAGGAGGGACATCGCAAGATGGACGTGCGGGCTGAATGCTGCAAGTGGCAGTTTGGGATCAAGAATGAAACGAGGCGCTTGATACGCGCGCCAATCTTTGACGTGGGATAGCCGCCACACAAAAGGTACCAACAACAGGAATATATTGCAACGCGGGGAAATCGTACACATCCGAGTCGTCAATCGTAAACGGGGCAGTACACATCGAAGAGACTCCAGGAAAACATTATAGACGTCTACAACTTGAACTGCTTGCGGCCGACCACTCAGGACGTCTTGTGGACAGGCCATGCAGTACGTGGGGATTCAAGTGTAGACGGTCGCGGTCTTTGCCGCGACGGGCGCCTTGTCCAGCTCGATGTCGGAGATCTTGGGGACCTGAGAGCCGCTAACATGACCGTTGATGCCGCTCATCTTCGCGGCGTTCTGCTTGAGGAGTACCTTCGGGTCCATACCAAGGTCGCCGTAATCGACGAAGGCCTAGAAAGCGAACGAGTGAGCGTGGCTGCGTTGGGAAAGAGGAAACTCATGTGTACCTCGACGCCGTCACCTGAGCCGTACTTCTCCTTGATGAGCGCCTTATGGACATCGAGCGCCTTGTAGAGCTCCTCGTAGGTGGCGTCATTGACGAATACGCACTGGCCGTACGGCCTGGGAATGGCGAAACGCTGTTTGCCATTGCGTGTCTGCCTATAACGAGGAACGACGCGTCAGAAACGTTCACCTGAAGACATCGAGAGGTGCAGCGCACAAGATAGCCTCGGTTGCCTTCACGATCATCTCGCGCGTGAACAGCTCATGATCCATCGACAGACCGACGGAGTGTGCGAGACCGTGGTACTCGTCGCGCTCCTGCTCTGTAAGGTAACCACGGGTCCAGCCAAAGGTGACGAAGAAGGCCATATCGATGTTGATGGCGTGGCCATGGCGAAGAGGAACAACCGGAGAGAGTTCTAGCGTTGGGGAAAGGCTGTGGCCAAACGCAATGACGCGGTCGAGACGGATCTCGTGCAGGTTGGGCGTCTCAAGCTGACGAAGGCGCAGGTCAGTGTCTGCGACGAACAAGACGCGTATCGATACTGACGTCAAGCATGACCTTGATACCGCGGTAAGTAATCTCGTCCGCGACTTTCTTGAGGTCTGGGTCACAACCATCGACGCGGCCGAAGCGAGTCTTGATCAAAGCCGGACCATGTTCAACGAGCAACTTCCACGAGCGCTCATCGGCGCAAGACGAGATCTTCATCAGCTCTGCAGCACATGAAAGTTAGCTGCTTCGAGGGGAGAAGGTTCTGTCAACGAACCAGCGAAGCCGTTGCGAACTTGCCCCTCTGGCAAAGTCTTAAGCATACTGAAGTCGAGGAATGTTATAAGAGGCGCATGGCTGGCAGCAGGACGTGTCAGTCAGCTGAGATTCTCAACCAAAAGGAAAGGGACGAACTATGCGCCGAGACGATTCTTCAGAGCGCCGTGGTTGATACCAACTATGGCAAACGTTCAGCAGGTACAGATGAGTTGGGGGGAGCAAGGCGTACCTTTGATAGAGACAGACGCGTCGATCAACCCAATCAGCGTGGTGGGAACGCGAATGAAGTTCGTAGTGCGACGGTACGAAGCACATGCATAGCCGGTGACATCGGTGCAAAGACCTCCGCCTACGACGAGAACAGGCTGCACAACACGGTATGAGCTTTCAGTACTCGCTGCCGAGCCACATGGGGATAGGGGGACACGTACCTCCTTACGGATGATACCGAAGCTAGTCATCGCATCGACGATAGAAAGCATGGTATCCATGGTCTTGTTCTTCTCGCCTCCGTTCATGATGAACGTCGTGAGGGGGATACCATGATGAGCAAAGTAGACATTCCATTTCTCGGAGTAGAGCCCGTTGACGTTGGTGTCCGTGACAAGCAGAACACGTTTCCAAGGCTTGTAGATCGTGGCGAGGTGTTCATGCTTGGGATCGAAGATGTTGTCAACGAACTGAAAACCTGACGCCACGCATATGAGTTAGTTACTGGGCAGCCCATCGCATGACGACCAAGACCAACCGTAGTTGATCTCTTCGTGTCCAGTAACAGCGAAGCCATTCGCGGTCGTGTTGACTTGGGCGGTGAGCTCACTCATGTTGGGTGCGTGTCGATATGAGAGAAGATTCGGGGAGGAGGAACTTCGAGTCCGATATAGCTTCGTTATATATCTGACTTGCAAACGTGCGAGTGTATTCCGGCAAGAGATCGAGGACTTGACGAAGCTGATGACGACCCAGAATTCTATCTGTCTCCCACAAGACCGGACGGTAAGCGTATTGGGAGGTGTAGATCCTGCTGAGCGGAGATGTTGCAATGTCGAACGTTGCGTGCCGGCGGCCTGTAACGCACGATACCACCGCCACTGCCTCGAGTTGAGATTAGATGAACGACAAATCGGGTGGTGTCGTTGCCCAGATTTTACGAAGACCCCTATAGTTGTGGAGAACATCTTCATATGCCGTTGAAGGGTAGTAGACGAGGCATCGCAGCCACCCGATGCCAGGAAGCTTCTCCCACAGCTGCCAGCGGTTCTTCCTCGGGTCCGTCACCTGCCGGCCACTGGAGGAATTGCGTTCGCTCGCCACTCACGATGCTGTGGGAGTAAGATCCTTGCTGTAGTAATGGATATGCGTCGAACGAGGAGAAGCTGGACATGCGTGAGCGCTTCGCAATAGGCATAGTAGAGAAGTCGACGTACCGGGTAGTAGCTCCCATTGGCATACCCACGCCGCCGGTCATCATCGCCAAGCAGATTATGGAGCGGATAGTCGGTACTGCAAGTGGATTAGTACATAGGCAACTCGATTGAAGACGACTGCAGCAAGTCCTTACTGGTAGGTTAAGGTGAGCTGCGTCGAGCCCTGCTCCTGATCGACTTCAGTGTCCACATGGTACCATTTTCTCGATGACTTC